GCATAACCAAGGAAAGCTTGCTCCATGCTGGCAACCAACTCCCTATGTGATTATCTGCCAAATGAAACCCACCAGCCAGTTTACAAGATTCGTCCGGAGGGGAAAGAGGGACCTGAAAGGACAATTCATCGCAACAATATCAGACCATGCCCATTCAAGCCTCTGCCACCCGATCAACCAGTTGCAGCCCAGACATCCAGGGAGCCTGATGCTACAGAGAGGGTTTCTGATGCACCTCTCTGCCTTGTGCCTGTAGCCCCAGTATTAGCGCCAGCGGTTAGGCAGCAAGCAACACTAGTGCCACAGCCAGGCCAGATGGTAGTTCCAGGAGGGCAGCAGCCACCAGAGCTGGAGCCAGGCGAACATGAACCCATTTTGAGAAGGTCAACTAGAGAGACAAGAGGGAGGACCCCCTTCAGGTATAGGCAGTGAGTAGAAACGGCAACCCAAAAGGGGTGTGGGTAGGTGTCATGGGGTGAGAAGGGAGTGGGAGGTGCCCATAACTGTGCCATGTTTATTTGTGTGTATATTTGAGTTCCTATAAATTATGGGTTGATATGTTTATTTGTGTGTAGATTTGGCTTTGAATTATGGTTATTGTGTGTGGTGTTATTTCATATTTTGTGCATGGATTTGGTTTATTTGTTATTATAAGTTGTGGAGTTTTGTGCATGGATTTTTATGTACATGTGGTACATATGTGGTTAACTCCACACGTCACCTTTCCCCCGCTACACCTCCCTTATGCTCTAATCACTCATTATTGGCCCAGTCAGACTGCTCCACTTTAAAAGACAGGTGCGGGATTTCAGGAGGAGGAGCTATCTTACTATCTTTTTAATTGTTTATTCGATTTTAATAAATTATTATATATACGCAGCTTCATCTCTGCTCTTTGTGTCTGTGTGGTGTGGCCCGGGGATTGTTATTAGGTCAGTACGACCCTGTGACACTTGCGGTGGTCTTTGTTGCGATATGGGCATTGTGTCAAAAACTGATCCTCCCAGATCTTCATCCTCTTGCTGATTCAAGCTTCCTTCTCCTTGGGTTAAATCCTGCAACTAAGTCTCCATCATGGTAAGCCAAGTGGTTTGAATATTAATGGTTTTGAGTAGATCTCCCATTATTTCAGCCACTGTCATATGGTGCGCCGCTGTCAGAACACAACGAGGAGACTGTAGATCCCTCACACTTCACACCATGGGTGCCTATATCACTGTAGTGGATTTGTGAAATGGGTTATGAGGGTTCGGCTGCAGCTGGTGAGCATGTAATGCTTCTCCTCCATAAGGTAGGGGTGACATATCCACTGGCAGGGTTGGATATAGACCAGTCGTTGGAGGGGGGCGCTGTTGGGGCTGCTGCTAACTGCTGTCCATTCTTTGTAACTGTATTCACTTCAGATAGTGAAGGAAGATACTGTAGGAGTTGTTTCATCAATAACAACATTCCATTTACCAGGATCATTCTATCCTTCTTCTTGTCATATTGTCTTTTTAATCTGCCCCATGTCAGATTTCCGGCCTTCTCCCATGCTGTCTGTGCTGCTGCACACTCACCCTTTTCATATGCCAGTATGAGGGCACGAGTATTCCTCGGAGGGAGGGATTTTCTCCAATTTTTTTCTACCTCCGTTCTTTCCTTGCTAGGTGTTTCCTCCAGCATCTTGACCTTGATGATCTCCTTCAGTGCCGTGCCAGCCATGGTGTGGTGTCAGTAAATATGGGAGTAAAAATACCAATCAGCATTGTTCCTGAGAGAATAGTATTGTTGTCTGGATGGTGATCTGTTGTTTCACTTCCTTCCGATGTGGTCCAGTTCCACTTCAGAAGTAACTTGTGGGAATGACCACTCACTCATTACTGAATCAAAATTTTCAATTTGGTTCTAATGAACCATCAGTTCCCCTGTCTCCATGGCTTATTCCTTACAATGTCCACCAGGAGGTAAAGTCACACCAACATGCATAACAATATGCAATGTCGTCATGACAATATGCACCACCAGAGGGCAGCCCTGTTTCAATTTCAACGATTCCAGTGTTCACCACTAGGGGTCTGTTTTGCAGTTACAAAAGTCTGTCACTAGAGGGAGCCCACTCGCTTCCAAGCACCTCACTACAGTATCTACTTCTCACCACCACATGGAGCCAAACCTTCTATTGATGCTATATGTCACTGATAAACTCTAGTCAAATCGCACAATCATTCATATGCAACAATTTACTACAACTTATCACGAATCACAACATCATTGTACTTTACACTCAGACAGACAAATTCACACAAATACGTCGACTTAAACTGGAGCTCCGTCTCAACTCTGTGCACTACTCAGTTTTGGAGGACTTCCACCTGCGGGCTTTAACTCAAACTTAAATTTAATTTACAGGATTTCCACCTGATGGACTCAAACCCACATTCAAATTTAATACTCTTGCATCAAGAGATTCAGGCCTAAATTTAACCGAAACAGCATTTACAGGACTTGCACCTGATGGACTCAAACCCACATTAGACTTAATTTACAGGACTTTCACCTGAGGGACTCTAATCCACATGTATATATAGTTTACAGGACATTCACCTGAGGGAATCTAACCCACATTCAAATTTAAGTTACAGGACTCTTAATTTACAGGATTCTAACCTGAAGGACAGGAATTTTTTAAATCACATTGCAGATAAAACATCACAAACGAATTGTATGGCCTCAACTTTGGAAATTTAGCAGTCTCTCTCCTTACCTCCTCTGCACTCACAGACTAAAATTTCAACTATGCAGAATTTGGCATTAAAGCAACAGTTTTCTGTTTACCTTTTATTAGGGCCCCTTTGTGAGTGTTGAGGGGTCTGAGGGTTGACCGGTCCACAGCTCCTTTGACTGGACTCCGTTCAATCTTTTCCCAGCTCCTTTTCTCACATCACGTAGGGGACACCAAGTTGTTGAGGCATGCCCGTTTTTTTTTGTTTGTTTGTTTGTTTGTTTGTTTGTTTTTAGATAGAAGACCAACAACTTCTCTCTTTTAATGCTACTTATTCTACAATGTGATATTCTACTTAATCAAGGATCCATCACTGGTTCAGAAAATCACAGTCAGCAAGCTGTTACTCTGTAAACAACTTCCCCAGGAATGGATGGAGCCTCATGTAAGCATAAACATTTTATTCAGTGTGGTGCAAGGGGATTGGCTACTAAACACAGACATTTAATTCAAATAGTAAAACGTGAATGGCTATCTGTTGGGCAGGAGCCGAGGTTTAAACTTAGCTCTCTCTTTGTTGGTGCACAGATATGTCCATGTCTCTTGGCACATGATTGGCACACGATTCATCCAATCCACAGCATCTGCGCCCTGTAAAGGAATACTTCCCTATTAATATCTCCCACTCTCTGGATGTCAGTACTTTTCCTTTGTTTAGCTGCCATAAACTGCAGCTGCTGCTATTACTTTGTAGGGGGATGGTATGCCTATGCAAGGTACTGCTAGGTTCTATCTGACCTGGCTTAACCACCTTCAGTTCAGTCTCTCAAGGCCTGCTTGAATCCCTCTTTCCCCTTCTTCAGATCAGCAAAACTCATACATTAATGCACATTAAATGATGCTTGTGTCAATACTAAGCTATCAGTGCTTTTACAAAATTAAATATTCCAACAACAGATAACAGGTAACTGATTTATGATGCTGACAAATCTGATGTAGCATCAGTGTTAACACTAAGTCAATTCAATTCAATTCAATTTTATTTGTATAGCGCATATTTACAACAACAAGTCATCTCATAGCGCTTCACAAAGGCAGAAACAGAAACACCCAACAATCCAAAACATCTGGATTCCCTATAAGCTTCAGCAGTCCGCAAGCAGTCCACAACAGTGGGAAGGAACCGAAA